TCCACCAGAGAGAGTCAAAACAGGAAGACGTTCACCCGGTAATCCAGTAACAGGACTAATTAAACCTCTTTCCAAATTAGATGACCTCATATGAACGCTCAAATCAGACTTTAGCGCTTTCACTGACCATAATCCGATTACGGCTTAAAAGTGATGACTGTTTTGATTATTTTAAAACCTTCCCCCTTATCCAGGGAAGCAGGTCTTTTGCTGAGCATGCATGGTGGTGTTAAGCCATGCGCTACTGTCTATTCACAGTTACACGTTTTCACACCACAGAGATGCCAAGTAGAACCAGAGTCTTCTACTTCTGGCGACTGAGCAGCTTCATTGGAGTAGCTGGGGGTTAAGCACCTGCCTTGTTCAGCTGGCAAAGATGTTGAATAATGAGGTTTATTCACTCATTCGCTTTGGCTGCCCAGAGTGGTCCAACTGGTCTTTTTAATAGTTATTTTTGATCCAGAATAGAGCTGCAACTGACTATTTCTTTCGTTATTAGTAAGTCTTATGTGTTAAAATGTCCACAGTTTACCTGAGCCCAAAGTGACACCTGTAGGTTACTTGTTTTATCCGACACAAACTGTCCGAAACCCAAAGATATTCAAGAGAAGCAGTAAATGTCACATTTTAAAAGGTCTTCAGTTCAGAGAAGAGCTGCAAATACTAATTTTTGAGAAGCAGAACCGAGCTAATGATTTTTACTTTATAAATGTCTTCATGATGAATTGATTAAATTGTTGTGGATAAAATGGTAAGGACTCAGCAAAGACTTCAAAAAGTTTTACTATAATAAATATTTTATTAGAATTTACTGCATTAGGATAATTTCTAAATTAGAAAAACGATCATTTGTATGGATCATTTCCTTGGCTCAGGTGACTGTTATGAATTAAAGTCGTCTAAACTGCTTTACTTTTAATTTTGTCTCACGAGATGTCCCACAGTTGAATCTGCATTAAAAACACATGAAGCTATCTCCTCCCGCTGGCAGATTAATTTCTTTGATTATAAAAACAACATTTTACAGCTACATTATTAGACTAAATGATTTTGGTTCCATCCACTAATCAATTATTTGACTATTGTTTCAGCTCTAATCCAGAACATACGGTCACAAGCACAATTCTCCAGCCTTAAACGTCCAAACAGGCTGGACGCAGTAATTGCTGCATCCAGTTGTTTGATTCTCCTAATATGATTATTTTATGGCAGATTGTACGCTTGAGGTTTGACGCATCAGCAGCACCAGCACCTCATCTGCATAGCATAACCACCCTGAGGGAAGTTAGTCTCAAGGATATGCCAATTGCCCACCTTTTTAATCGAGGAATAAGAGTTTTAATAAAAAAGTGCGGGCATATCATTAAATTTTTAGCAGGTGCTGGAGTATACTCCAGCTTAAATATTAAAGAAGGAGAATGCCGCATACTTCCACTAATTAATATTGATATTTATTTTTAATGATTCATTGGTCATTAAGAGCTCAACTTTAATGATATGATATGTTTTTGTCATGATTTGGTATTTAGTGAACTCTTGCAATGAATCACATGATAACGATATCATAAATTGATACAATAATTTGACCAGTGTGTAGGATTTAGTGTCATTTAGATGCTTTGGAGTGGTGTTTGTGTCCACCTGATGAATTTATTTCCAGTAATTAGTTTCTTTCAGCTGTATTTTAGTCTCCCCCCCTCGACTCCTGAGGAAAATATCTGTGTCGTAAGCTTATAAATGCTCCTTTGTGTGTGTCCACCAGCTAGTCGCTAACTGTGTCTGTTTGCCATTTGGAGTTGGACAGGCAATGAACAGCTGTCTGCTGCAGCTGGAAATAATTCTATGAGAGCTGTGAGTGAAGCAAACCAGTATGGCTGTGGGCATGAAAATGAAAACAATGAGCTGAAAGACACTGAAAAGCTCTGTAGAGCTACCAGGAACTTTAGAGTCAGGTGATAATTCATTGTTGCTTAATCTCTATGAGTCACCTCTTTCATGTAGTCCTGTGAGACACTGTTAATATAAAAATTATTATTATTATAAGATATTATTATAGCTGCATTTATTATAGTTAAAGGGTCGGTTAACCCAAATCACATACCAGTGGTATCTACTGTAGCCATGCAAATAGTTTTCATTGCATTTGCCCAGGATTGGAGATGCCTCCACATTTTGGTGGGGGTTTTTTTTAAAGATTATTTTTTAAGTTTTTTATTTACTTTATTGGATAGTAGCAGGCGAAGAGTGACAGGAGTGAGGCAGGAGAGTGAATGAGCAGCAAAGAGCCACAGATTGGAATCAAACCTATGCTGCTGCAATATGGACTTTGCCTTTTTGTACATGGGGCGTGCACCCTACCAGATGAGCTACCAAGGCACCCCGGTGCTCACAGTATTGAAAAACAACATTAAAAAAACATTCAGTAGCAAACTCTGGTTTCAGAAACAATAGACAATTCAGAATCAAAACTTCATTCATCTCCATTGTGTGTGAGTAGAGGCAGGATTATCAAAGATGAATATCTCAAAACCTGGACAACAAATAAATAAAATAAAATAAATCAATTGTAATTTGGGTATACGGACCCTTTAAGAGGTAGAATCTGTTATCTTGTATGTAATCCAGTTTAACACAACCTGTTACTACTTTCCGGTCCGATTTACTTGTTGCTCCCCTTGCAGCAGCTGACATGCAAATCTCCCTGATTATCTAATAATGAACTGAGGAAATGTGAATTATGAGTAAATGTGCATCACTGCTGTCTGGGGAAAAACTGCTTAAACTGACTGTATCTTATTTTTTCCTTAATGAATGTGTCGAGTCAGTTCTGTGACCCCTTGGGCCTGAAAAACTTATTAAAAGTCAATTGTATAATTTTGAAAATACTGTACACGGGAGTCAGTGAGTAAACAAACAGGATTTCTTCATTCCCAGGTCTGGTTTTGGAGATCCATGGTCTTTAATAAAGGCTATATACTGTCTGTATTTGTGTGTGCTGAGAGAGAGAGAGAGAGGGGATATTGAGACAGAGAGTGACGAAAAGACTCCTCTGAGTGGCGTAGGATTATTGAAATGCACCTGGAAAGTAAACTAATTTTCTCTGCGGGTCAGAGGACTGGTTATGGTAATAAAAAGAGAGATGTCATTAGATTCAGTGGTATTTGAAGAGTTCTCTGGAGGAGAAGAATGAGGAGGGGTCTGTGTGTTTGAGAGCGAGAAAGAGTGAGAAAGAGGAAGAAGTGTGTACTAGTGGTCGTGTGTTTTCCAAGCTGCTCCCCTGCCACTATCTCTGTCTCCTCTGTGTATATGTTATTCATGAGCTTGACCTACATGTGCCCATGCTTGTGTGTGCAGGCGTGTGTGTGTGTCAGTCCATGCAGGAGAAAGTGATAAGGTTCCGGTCCACTTTCCAAGATTCACCAACCACTTTCACGGTCTGACCACCCAGTTTGATATTTTCTCTTACAATAGAGTGCGATCTGCGGATGACAGTCTGTGCTGTGTTTATGCTTTCGTACTTTGTCTTAGTCCGGTGCTGCTGCTGCAGCTCAGACGCTCTCGCACCTGCCCAGTTCTTCTCCTTCCTCTTTTCGCTCTGCAGAATACCAGAAATGTGAAGTAAAGGGAAAGAAAGAGAAACAGCAACAAATGGAAAAGTGTCTATGAATATCTGTGCATATTTTGACTCAAAACTTAAACCATGAAAGCAGTTTTATCACTCGAAATAACCAAGTATTCCTGCAACAGATTGCCGTTAAGATGCTGTAGATTCTCTCTTTATTTGCCAAAATAAAGCTCTGTTCTTGGGTATAGTTGCCTCTCCGTCCTCAGTGATGGATTACATCATGTGAAATGCAAGCTGTCTCCTAAGCAACAGCGAGCAAGCGAGTCCACAGAAAGCTGGTCTTAGCAACATTAGATCTTTAGCCTCTCTCGTCCCTTTGGTGTCCTTCAGCATAAGACATCACAGACAAGCCTGGTTAGTAAACATGACCGTGCTGCATGCAGTTTACTGATGTTATATTACAGGGGTTGAAATTTCCACTTCCTTTATTCCTCATGAATAAGGATGTTGTGGCAGGATGAAAGTCTGACACTGCCTGGAGTTCTTGTTTATGCCTTTTTAGAAGTGGGTTATTTCAAGTGAATTCGACCACAATCACAGCGCTTTGGAAAATGAAAACAAATTTAGGGATGCCACTAATGGTTATTTTCATCATTGATTCATCTGAAGATTAGGTTTTTGATTAATAGATTGGTTTAAAATGTCAGAAAATAGAGCATAATGCCCATCATAATTTCCCAGAGATTAAGATGGTGTCTTCAGATTACTTCTTATTTCTGACCGACAGTCCAAAAACTGGAAGATGTTCAATGTACAGCAAAACAAAATGAGAAATGTGGCAAAACCTTACACTGGAGAAGCTGGAACCAGCACGTGTTTGGCAGTTTAGCTTGATTAATGACTTTAAACATGACTCAATTATTAAAATTGTTGTTGATTAATTTTCTGTTGATCTACTAATTGATTTATCATTAAACACTAAACAAATGTTAGAGGCCCATGTTACTGCTGTTAGTGCTAGTTATCTCGAGGATAGACTGCAGGGTTCACATAATCACATTTTATTTGATAAAACATTCGTATACATCATCGAATGAGTCAGCTTTAGTGCAAAATGTGTGAAAGTACATGTTGACTTACAGTATATGTGGCATATAGTGATAGATAGCAGAACAAAATACCCAGAGGCACAAGGTAGCTGCACAGAAGAGGCATTTTTCATTTAATAGGAACAAATGGGGGTCATTGCAGTTCTATACAGTTCTACAGCATGACACTGTCGCATCCTAATTACAGTAAAAAAAATCATTTCCAGTTTATGTGTGCTGTGTATTTCTGTATCTTTGTTGTACTTGTGTTGCACTAGTCCCTTGTTAAGATGCAGAGACCTTTCTCTTGACTTGTCTCATCCCCTTCCTGTCCCTCTTCACCTCAGGACGTCCAAACGTGGTGGAGTCCGTTCCAGACGATCCCACATACAACGTGAGCAGCGAGCTCACTCTGGAGGTGAGCCGCAGCGACGACAAAGCCCTCATCACCTGCGCTGTCGACCATCCCTCTCTCGCCCCGGGGGACAAGAGGAGCGAGCAGGCTCTGCGGGTGTTGTGTGAGTCAACTTGGAAATGGGGAGTGGGGAGAAGAGGGGACACAGAGGATGCTGGGGGAAGAGAGGAAAAGTAGAGGACAGACGGATGTGCGAGGGGAAGTGAAACCTCAAACTGCTGTTTCTTATTTCTGCCTTGCTCGTCTCTTTTATTAGGCAGTACAGGCACATTTCCTCCCTTTGCAGTTTGATCTTTGCTCCAGTAATTTCAGATTAGCTACCTGTAATAATGACCACACAGGAATTTAACCTTCCTCTGCTGGTGCACTTGCCCAGAGTTGAGTCACCGTGGATAAGAAGAGCAGGGTATCATCTGAAATGAAACTATAAATGGAGCGGTGTCGGAGTCTGTGTCGGTGCTGCCACCCTGTGGACGACACGGCAGTACTGCATCACCGATGGAAAATGATGTCGTTGTGTAAGGAGGTTATGTCATCGTGGGAGGCAGAGAGATGGTGACGCCTACAGGATGCAGATGGGAGTAGATAGAGATGGGGATGAATGAGACGGTGCTGTGTCCATGTCTATACGGTTATGACTCCTGTGTTATGTAATTATCCTCTGTGTGTGTTTGTGTGTGTGTTTGCCCTCCACTTACAGATTCCCCAGATGTGGAGATCATGCCCGAGAGCGATCTGCCTAGAGAGGGGGAGAAGTTTCATCTTAAGTGTTTGGGCAACGGCAACCCTGAGTAAGACACACACATATATCTACATATATATCTGTATGCATGTACACACACAAACCCACACGCTGATTTATATATATATAAATAATTTATAGAATATATACAGCAGATTGCTTTTCTGCACATGTACAAATTACAACAATTATTGACTTCAAGATAACATTTATAAAAAATATCAAATACAACTAAGTAATTAAAGAAAAACTTCCAAACAATATCCTTTATGCAATATCATTTTGTCAGCACATAAGTAAAATAACTGAACAACATGGTCTAACATTTCCAGGCAGTTTGTAACATAACTATGTCTGTGCCAACAGCTAAATTAAGATCATTTGAATAATGCTAACATTTTGCACGATTCTCGTAAGTTAGAGGATTTAATAATACATGTGGTACATGCTGTATGCCAGAGCCACACCAGCACAGGAGGCAGATGAGAGGCAGAACCTTGCTAAAGCAATTCTCAAATGAGTTTCAGTAGGGGGTTTATTGTTTGTTTACTGCAGATGGACCAACAAATCCACATAGCTTAACTACAAAATGTGTCTATCAGTGCCATCTAAAACAACTCGTATGACTGTTTTTTCTACCTAACTGCTTGGTTGAGGTTAGGGAAAGATAGTGGTCATGGTTACAAGAAAGCAACATTGACGGTTCCTGTGTTTAGTGTCAAGGTCAAACACTTTTTAAGATTCTACGATATCATGTTACTTCCAGCTTTGCTTATTTGCAGAACCACAACAGATCTCTGATAATGTGACATATTTTTGAGTAAACCTATGACTGATTTTTCTGGTGATGACAGTTTCGGATGGACAGTTAATTCAGGTTTTATGTACTATCTTTCTGACCTTGCACGTAGCTTTTTTATCATCTCTTCTCAGCCAGTACTTATGTAATCTCTCACCTTGAGCTTCAGGTGCGAGTTCTTAAAGTCCCCCTCCACTCAAAATGATGTTTACCTTCTTGTTCCTACAGTTGGATGTTTAAGCTCCACTGTGCAGAATGATGTCTGTGCAGAGTTTGACTAGAAGGATGTTTTCACATTCATCTGCTGAAAGTGGAAAGTTTCTCTGTGCTCATTGAAAATCGGATTTTAAGGGGTGGGGCGGTGATTTGTGACTTCACAAATAGTCAATCCAATATGCAGCTTACCTAAGTGTTATGTAGGAACTTGAAGCCTCCAGTGCACATACAGAATGGACATTACAGTAAAGCAGGAGACATCTAGCAGAGGCCAGCAGAAAATGATAGAATATGCATATTTATAGGTTCTCAAATTTTTTTAATGTGTAAATGATGTCTTTTTGGTGGAAAAAAAACATGTCAGACACACATTATTGGTCCGAGCAGACTATATGTATACATGTCTTAATACATGTCTGGAGGGGATCTTTAATATTATTATTATGTCTAGTAAATCTGAGTACATAACCCAATACATAATCATTGTTATCACGCCAATGGTTCCTCTAACATAGGAACTTGGCCTGTTTCTCTCTTACTGCAGCATGGATTGATGGAAGCTCTGACGCTAATAAACAGGGCAGTTTGGGTGCTGCTGTCCTTGCTCCAGTAAAAGCTTTCACCCCAGTCATGCAAAGGGTCTCAATAGATTTAATGGTCTCAATAGAGGCACTTTGTATCAGCATATAAAGAGGCAGACACACATGAAAACATACCCAAATTTAGTTCCTGAAAAGGTGTCAAATTACACGGCAGGTACACAATCACAAAACAAAAGAATCCTTAAAAACATGCCCACACACACACACACCTACATGTGCAAGTAGCAACACTAACAATCTGCACACACACGTACACAGAAACACACTTGTAAGCAATGACACCCAAACATGATCAATTTCTGACACCTTCACGTGCAAGTAGTCGCTTGTTCACACTTGACACCTACATAAGCACACAAATGGGCACAGTTAGTGAAAACACCTGCTCGTACAAGCTCTTGCGTGTTCACTGATACAGTGTGTACACAATTATTCTGATACTCACACACACACAGACAAACAAACAGCAACCCTCGTCTTAAATCCTGCCCACACAAATACACTCTTTCCCCTGGCCTTTCTGCATTATAGATGAACCTCGAGCCAACCAGCCCTATCGATCCACTCTCCCCCCCACCTCCTCCCTGCCTCCCTCCATCCCTCCATCATCGGGTATCTCTCAACCACTGTGTCACTCACGGCTCGTTCTCTCCTCTCCGTCTTGTCACGATGCCTCCTTGCCCTCCTCCTCCACCACCTCTCCCTGTCCTTTCCTATAACTCTCCTCTATCTCTCCTCACACCTTTTTCCTCTAAAATCCCCATCCCTCCTCCTCTTCCTCTCGTTCTGCTTCTATCACCCCCCCCCTTCTCCCCCTGTTCCCCCTGTTCCCCTGTCAGCTCATCACAGGAGTGGCTAGGAATAAGACTAGTCATTTAGTTTGATTGGCAGGTGGAACAGATAGGGGGCGGGGAAGGAGGAGGTGACTGTCATCGCATGTACGTGCTTTTACAGGCAGCGAGGGAGTCGATAAATTATAGACAGGAGAAAAGCAAGGCGTGACCAGTGTGCCACGGTCAGGGGTTCAATTCCCATGGGGACCACCTATGCTGGAAATCTATTTATTTTTTATACAGTTACACTTCAATTATGTATGTACTATGTAAGAAATAGTCTTGTTCTATCATAATAAATGTTTGTATGTAGTTCAAAATGGCCCTGATAGTGCAAGGGTTCAGGGTTCAGCTCCCACTGGGATCACCCATTCTAAAAATGTACTTAACTCATAGTACGCAGAGAGGTTTTAGATAAAAGCGTTTGCTGAGTGGCACAGGCTGGATGTAAAAAGAAAAAACTGAGGCTATAAAGAAGGGAAGAGAGAAATTGTGAGATCGAGGCAAAAAAGATGACATGGGAAGGAGAGGTAGAGAGGGAAGGAAAACAAACCGACAGGAGAGGGAGAGGTAGAGGGAAGCGGTGAAAAGCGTGGGTGGAGAGGAGACAGAAAGATTTGGTGACAAGCAGCGAATGACTAAGACAGAAAGAGGGAGAGCAAACAAGAGAAAGCCAGTGTGTGTATGTGTGTGTGTGTGTACGAGGTGGGGGGGGTGCTCAGCTATGTGCACCGCTGCCTGTGGATGAGCTAGTGTCCAATCAAATCAGATACAGGTTGCCCCCGCAGCTGTCAGTCAAAACCCAATCACCGCGACAACACCTTTCCTCCGACACACCCAGCCACTCGGATCCCTCTCCTCCTCTCAGGCTGCCCTCCCCAGTCACACTCAATGAACGTCACACTCCATTCTATGATACACACTTTTCTCTCCGTGGTCACATCCTGTCAGGTTCAAAAGAATAACTTACCGTATCAAATTCTATACTGTGTTTCCTTGACGCCCGGCGGCAAGAGCTTTCTAATAGAAGAGAAAGGAATTCGTGCTCTACATTCTATTATATTTTCCATCTATTCGATCAGCGCCGCCCCGGGAGTGCTTGCAATTGCATCACATTTCTGCGCTTAAAGTCATTTAACCAACTTAAACTCCCTAAGACTGTTCACTTAACACATTTACAGCTAAAAAGCCTTGCATAATTTTGACCTATTAAGTGCAAGCTTCCTTATGTGTGCAAGGTCATGGCCACGGTTAGAAAACAGCAGGTGACATGTAACAGGCTTACAGTAATCTGTAACCTGTAAGAGGTTAAGACCGGCCATATTCTACGGTATATTTCTATTTTTGTTAACAAACCCCATGCTGTTATAAATCCTCACTAGTGCACCGAATGTGGATTCATCCGCAGCTCAAAATAGTCCCCAACAAACGCTCTGTTCTCAAACTACCTCGTGTTTGAGTTACCTTTGCTAGTGTTCAGTGTTTTTAAACTGCAGTATATTGCAGAACTGTAGAGTTAGGTGATTAGTCATTCCCTCCATTGTTTGTGTAGAAAAAGTGTTTAGAGCATCTCTAATTGTGTCGATCCTCTGTATGAACCAGTGGCCTTGGCCCTGAGTGCCACAGTCGAGAAGACGGGAAGTGACATGACTGTACCGACCTTCCAACATTCAAATCTCTGACAAAAACTCACCTTTTTAAAATTGCTTTTAATGGCTAATTAGCTTAGTCTGATGTGTTTTTAGTATTTACTAATTGATTTTGTTTTCTTGCTTTTTATGTTTTTATGTAAAGTGTCTTTGAGTATTAAGAAAAGCGCTTATAAATAACATTTATTATTATTATTATTATAAAGTAATGAGAGCTGGACTAATGTATTGTTGATCTTCTCGGAGTAACATCAGACTCTCTAACTGTAAAAACACTGATCAGATGATAGATACTTTTAGCAGAAATAAGTGTTGGATTACAAAGTTTTTATACATTAACATAACTTAGCAACTCTTATATTAATAATTCAGCAAAAACACCCAATAGCTAATTCTTTAAGGTGATATTGATTATAGATGCGAGTGGGAGGAATATGCAGCACCAAAGTACCCATAATTGCAATAAAGTATGTCTTCAAGCATATCATGGCTTTTGTATAGTGTTTACTAATCCATGCATGCTAATTGAAAAGTTTCCACTTATACTGAGCTCATAGCCAAGACTAAAACACAAATTCTAGACATGCATGATGAGAATTATTGGTGTGGTTGGACCAATCAGCTTTCTGCACCTAAACTGCCTGCGATATAACAGAGATTGACTTTTGAGCTTTATGTTTAATAACACTACAGGAGTTACAGCCTGTAAATGTGAAGTTAATTGTTCAGTTAATTGCATATTATCTAGCATTTGGAGGCGGTGTGATACAACAGCTGATTACATTTTACTGCAGGTAACCAGACGATGTAGCCAAACATGGTCAGGGCATGCTTTTTTTCCCAACGCTTTATGGTTGAATATTCATTTTTAATTTGCCTCGGAGCAGCTGACTGAACACTAGAGCTCTTTTTTGCGTTGTTAGGTTTTATATTCCTCAAATGAAACACATTCAAAACTTTGAGCTTCCTAGTTAGTCCTCTTTGTCCCATGTGTTTGCACAGCAGCAGGTGTCAAGGGAGCAGACGATATTTCTCGTTAGCTTTCAGTCAGTTCTGAGGATTTTGCCCAGCAGCAGGAATAACAGATAGAGCTGTTGTAGGTTTTGCCAGCTAGATTTTTAAAATATTGGTTTGAGGGAACTCTGTCTGAGAGTTGTGTTGTTGCCTGCGTTTTAACAGTTGTACTGTACAACCACAAATAGCCACCTGGCGTCTATCATGAAGTTACGTATTGTATGCCTTCACGACGGCTTTGGTTGTAATTGACCTCAACGGGTACGCAGCCGGATACCTAGTGCTCTGACACATATTTACAACCAGACTTGGCACATGGCAACAGACCCACGCAGTCTACAATGAGATGAGTAAATGGTTCACACAGTCAGGATAGGCTGCAGTGGTGCAGGCTTGACTTTTTGATTTGGCTTTCCTGTGAGCTGGCATACATAACAGGTTTTAATGTATGCCGACACGTCCCTTTTCATCCGAGGCCAAAAGAAATGTTTCAGGATGTTGAGGTATGTTTTCCGGACACCAAAATGTCCACACTCGTCATGTGCCACTTTCAAGACGAGGGAACGAAACTTAGTTGGGACCACTATCTGAAAAACATCATTTTTTACCCCATCCTCACTCATAGGAACCCATTTTCTGACATTACATTGCTCTTGCACAACCTCACTGTGAGACAATGACAAAGGAAGCTCTGACAAAGATGGAACCTCAAAAACCACATCAGTACTGTTACTGTCAGGTGGCACCTCAGTCTCTGCTTTACGCATAGCGCGTGTAATAGCACAGGACGAAGAAACATCCTGCAACGCATTAGGATTCTTCTCGGAGACTAAATCAGATGGATAAAGTGTGACTACAGGTGAGGGAGGAGTGTCGGTCCAAACTCTGCTTCCAGCCAAACCATTCCCTAAAATAAGGTATATGCCTTCAATAGGCAACGCTGGTCGCACACCCACAGCTACCTCACCCTGAACCAGTTGACAGTTCAGAACCATCTTATGTAAAGGTACTGGGAAAACGCTTAAACCCATTCCCCGGCTGAGAACCAAGTCACCGGTTAAAGTGTCACTTGAAAAAGACAATACAGAGTCAACAATGTAGGAATTGTAGGCCCCTGTATCCCTCAGGATTTTTATTGGGACTTCCACATCACTTCCCACCAGCGACACAGATCCACCACGAATGAAAGGAGCATAAGCCTCCAAAACCTGTGATTCACAAGTGTGAGGGGTAAGCAACTCAGAGACACAATCTTTAACAGGTGCAGCAAATGCAACAGGTCTCACATTAGCTTTCACTCCCCTGGTTTTAGCCTTTAACACAGCACAATCTGCTTTCCAATGTCCTTTCTCGTGACAATAGTTACAGATATTCCCATTGTCAAAATTGGCACTTGCTTTAGGGTGAGGTTTGAAATGTCCAATTTTCGTTGAACGCGTCACGTCAAACGGAACGGCATCAAAACAATGTCGCGCACCAACATCACGAGCCACAGAGCGCTCTCTGAAACTGCCCTTATGGAGCAATACGTACTCATCAGCTGAAACAGCAGCTTCAGCAGCTGTATTCGTTTTCCGTTCCGTTATGTATGTTGCAATGCGTTCTGGAAGAATCACACAACTCATCAAAAGAAGCGACTTCTAGCGCAGTTAACCACCGCTTATAATGAGTTGACAATTCTCTGGCAAACTGCGTAAGTTTGACCATTTTTCTTCTCCCAGGACAAAACAAAACACTCTGAAGCATGAGGGCACAGTCTGCATCAAGCCAATTCCTAGCCTTAGCTACGCGTTCAAATAGCAAGAAAAAAGTGCCTGGGTCTTTTTCATTAAATCGTGGCAACAAGCGCACTTATTAATGTCAAACCGATCAGAAGACCTGGACAGCTGCGCGCTCACAGCCTCGCTGGACAATAGGCCTTCCCTCACCAGAGACAAACGATATCCCTCCAAATCTATTTTTGCTTTTTCGGATATCTGACGGATTCTCTCCATTTCAAGATGTTTTTTAACGTCTAGTTCTTGTTTCATTTTTTCATGGTCCAACTGCAAAATCAGAATCTCTTTTTGCTGCTCAAAAGTTAATCCATGAGTCTGAAAAGACACAGCAGGAGGATTTGGAGAAAAATCCCCCTTAGCCTCAGACATTATTCCATCTTCAATTAGCTTTTATAGCCGCTTTAACGTTCTCTTTGGGACGTTTTTCACCTTCGACGTCCACTGAATAATGTACAGCAATCTTGAGCCACTGCATTTATCCAGGGACTCCTGAGATGAGTCGGCAATAAACGCTTCAACTTGAGACATTACAAAGTATGTAACACAACAAACCAAGCCAACAACAAACTTTTACGCACGCCAAAGGACCAGATAGCCACAATGCCGTTAACTCGTGCGCACCAGAGGAACAAACCTCCATTCAGTTTGGAGTTTCCCCACTATCTAAACCCAACCGGCTAACTAAACTCCCCCCTAGTCACACACACACACACCAGCTCAACGAACCCAAAGGAGAACGTCTACAGCCTACAAAGGAAAACTCCTCACCATTTCACCAGACTGCGCACAAGCAACCTGCGAGTGTTATCCTGATCAGCTGATAGCAGCACAAACAACCGGCAAGCAAACAAATACTCAAAATGGCCAAATTCAGGTAAGAAACACTCATTCTGAAACAGTTTACTTACCCAACAAAGCAATCATCCAACGCGTCCTTTCCCCTACACTCTCCTAGAAGAGCAAACAAACTTTTATAGGCTAATACCTGCACAGGTAAACCGGAGAGCAAAGGGTCTATACCAGAGCGCACCACCAGCGCTGCCGACAACTTTACGCACACGCGCACCAAATTCCAAAGTGTGAGTTACCAAAAAAACTAGACCCTAGGATTAGAAAAATCCCCCAGAAAGTGGCCTACAACAAGCTCTAAACAAACACCCTACCGCCTGGTGATATACTGTAACCAAATACAAAATTTACAAATACAAATAATCGTGCACAAAACGGGAACAAACACAGCCGGACGAGCCCCCAGTTTGTCATAACCCGGCTCCTAGGCTATGACAAATACGGCATAGGACACAACAGATGTCTAGGAATGAGTGAATTTATTATATTAACTTAAACAACTGAGGATATAAATACAAATGTGAGGTGTGTAAGTCAGTAACATCAGTAATGTAAATGTGGATGTGTGAGCAATATGAAGTGTAAATGTTGTAAAGTGAAAACAAAGCAGAA